TTCCCCTCTTTAGGAGGACTGTCCCCATCTTGACTAGTCAAACCGGTTCTAGAAGAGATGTTCATTGTTGTACCAATTTTTTCCTCACTTTCCTTTTGCTCCAACTGTTTCCTCATGTCAATCATAAACTCCGTCATCATATTATAATCTTCCTCATTGTTTGATGCCAGATCCGCTACTGTCAGCATTAAATTAGACAACTTATCAAAACGTTGTCCTTCAATGTTGGTACTCCACCTATTATAACTGACCTTAATTTTCGTATGACATCTGTTCACATTTTCCTCAAACGCCGTAAAATGTACTTTTTCGGAACGTGTGAAACCCTTTTATGAATCAACACCATAATGGCATATCTGCATGAAATCTCCCTGAACTCAAACAAATGACAAGTACAACGAATATCACACGAACTTTCTTCAAAGTATACTGCATGAGGAACACGGCGACTATTATCTCCAAACCAAACATCTTCCCAAACTTGAAACTCCTCGCATGAATCACATTTTTTCAGAAAAGATAACTCACAATAAATGTTCCCCGCAATCTCATTTTGAAGCTCTTTAAACTTTGCAGTTGTGTATGCACTTTGAAATTGTTTCTCAATGGGGTAATTAGTTATGCATGGTATTCAAGATTTGAAAGATCTAAAATCAGCATCTCTTTCTTTTTCCACTTTAGCTCGCAATGCATTATCATATTGTTCCACAAATTGTTTCAAAGTGGTTTTGGAATTGACATACCCATAAAAAAATGCATGCATACTTTCACTACGTTGGGTAGTAGACATATCTGCCCAGAAAGTATCTTTAAGAAATGCAGGCACCTATCATACTCTTTCTTTGTACAATCCACATAACCATGCATTCTCGTGAAGGTTGTGCACATCAACAAATTGGTTCCACCGCTCTTCGAACTCTTCACGCATAAAGAAATCATACACAACATTTTGCAACTTAAACTTGATAGTTTCATATTCCTTATACCCCCTTAGACTTTTCAGGCAGTTTCTTCATTATATGCCACAAACACCACCTATGTCTTGTACCAGGGAAAACAATCTCAATTGCATTTTGCATGGCCTTATCTTGATCGGTGATTATTCCATTAGGAGCGACATCCATGCATTCAAGCCAAAAACGAAATAGCCATACAAATGTCTCAGTGTCCTCATGAGAAATTAACCCACAACCTAACAACGTCGAATGTCCATGATAATCAACCCCCACAAAAGCAACAAATGGCATGTTATACTTGTTCGTCAGATACGTTGTGTCGAAGGTGATAACATCATCGAATTCTTGATATACAGCCCTACATCTAGCATCAACCCATAGCACATTCTGTAATCTACTCTCTTTATCTACATCAATCATGTACTAGAAATTTGAATTCTCCTTTTGCATTTTCCTAAAATACTCAAGTACTGCGGAAGCATCTCCAACTCCAAGTCGTAACTTTCTCACTTTTTCAATGTAGTTCCTACAATCTTTTTCTAGAAACGTCAAATTCTCTACACCTCCTGCCTCAACTGAACATGACTGAAAATTTTTACACGGTCTAATCCCAGCCACATCATTAACTTCAAGTTGTCTTTTCACATAAGCTTGTATCGTTCGGTTAACCTTGAAATATCTTCTTTTTGTTGGACTTGTAAGATCATGGTTATGTTCAAGTACAACTGATTTAATTTCCCATTTGCATTCACCATTCAAAGCTGCACTAATCCGACTCTTACAATCTGTTTTGGCAATATGTTGTTTTTTCAAGGTATTTCTGGACTTACATCTCTCCTTTCCAGAACAAGAACATGCCACTGTCACATATCTCATCTCTCCATCTTCGCCTTTCTTTGATGTACGTATCATTGCTTCAAATCCTATTTTGTTACCATACCGTTTGTAATACTTGACCAGACAATCAACTGAATCAAACACCATTCCAATATGAGGCTCTACTTCTTCCTCTGCACATCCCATATCTTCTAATTCATCACGTTCATTTTCCTGATTTAATAGTTTTATAATACATAAAATTAGAATGTACTAATACAACACATCAAAATAAACAATACGATACAATAAATTTAAAATCATGTTAACGAAAAAGTACGTTTCGAGCACAATTTATCTCAACATCATTGAAATGAGGCAAACTGGACTCTTCCATATTCTGAGGCAAACTGGACTCTTCCATATTCTGAGGCAAACTGGACTCTTCCATATTCTGAGCCAAAATGGACTCTTCCATATTCTGTAATTTAATGCAAATCCAATATTAGTGTTCACGTTCACGAAATCTGATTCATAACAATCACCAACAAATTTTCTCTATCAGTTTTTTTCTATTGTAACATATATTCAATCCAAAATATAATACAAAACTAAATAAATGCATAAGTTATATAAAAATTTCCACTGTAAAAAACTAAATAAATGCATAAATTATATAAAAATCGGTTATTAACTTGGACAAATCTTTCTAATCTCCCTTTCCACTGTAAAAAATGGCTATGGTTTGATGAAAAGTTTATAGCTTTCGTTCTTCACACGGTAGCTGGAAAATGAGGAAAAAACGTTTGTTGTAGGAAGAAATGGCTGAGGAATGCAGACGCAACACTGAGGCGAAGAACAAATGGCAACGATGAAGCAGAAGGGGACGATGAATTTTGGCGCTGGTTTTCTTTCACTCGAAGAATTTTAGCGCTTGTTGTTGGAGAAGCGTATTGGAGAAGCTAATGTAAACAAAAAAATTTTATTAAAAAAACATTTAATTTTTTTTTTTAAACTTTAATTACATTGTGGACGGGCGTCCATAAGGGTTGGACGGCCGTCCTTTACATAAGAAACAATCGTCCAATATGGACGGTCCATTAAGTATGGACGCCCTTCCACAATGAAGGGATGGCCGTCCACCATTTAGGGACGGCCGTCCAGAGTTTATTTATTTTTTTTTTTTTAGGAATTACTTTTGGACATGCGTCCATTACTTACGGACACCCGTCCACAATAAAAGGACTACCGTCCACAATTTGTGGGCGTCGTCCATCGTTTTTATTTAGATTTGTAAAAGCCAAATAATGGACGGGCGTCCATTACTTATGAACGCCCGTTCATAATTTTGGGACGACCGTCCAAAGAGTTTTTTTTTATTTGTAAAAGCAAAATAGTGGACGGGCGTCCATTTCTTACGGACGCCTGTCCAAAAGTAAGGGACGACCGTCCACAATTGGTGGACGGGCGTCCCCCAAGATTTTTTTTTTTTTTCATATTTGGGTGAAGGACCGTCATCCATTATTTGTGGGCGCCCGTCCAAAATTAATGGACGGCCGCCTATAATGGATGGACGGCCGTCCCTAATGTTTAACAAATTTTTTAATTGTATTTTAATCAGGGACGAGCGTCCTTTAAACGGGGACACCCGTCCCTTGTATATGGACAGGCACGGGAGTCCATGTAAGTGAACGGCCGTCCAAATTTGATGGACGGCCGTTCACTAGAAAAAAATTGTAAAAAAATCAGAGGCATGTTACACGTAGGCCGGTACACAATTTCGGTGCAACTTTTTCAGTGTTCGTAGTTTTGTTGCCTATAAAAATGCCCAATTTCCACCAATTTTCCTCACAACCCTCAACTCCAATTCTCAAACCCTCTTTAATTTCATATATTATTCAATTTAATATTTATATTTATTTATGATTCAATTTCATCTATTATTCAATTTACAATTTATATTCATTCATTATTCAATTTCATCCCTTTTAGCTATTTATTATTTGATCATAATGAATTCCTTAAGTTATGGATTCCGAAGATCATCATCACCATACGATTCTAAAAATATTATATTCAAATTCCTCCATCCACACAATAAATAGAAGGGTTCAATCTATTTTCATCATTTCTTGACGCAACAATTCCAAATAATTAAATAAAAATAATTTTATTTAATTGTTTAAGTTTAAATTAAATTTTCACATTGCAAATCTAAAATTAAATTATGTCTTTAAATTAAAATCATTATAAAATTATAATCATTCATTTTTTTATTTACTAATTAATTAAAAATTTACTAATTAATTAAAAATTTACAAATCACCCCTGATAAATTACAAAATCCCCCTTACATAATTATATATTAAATGTATAAAAAATTAAGGGGCTAAATGGATGTTATCAAGCTTGCATAAGACTAGTCCCAAGGCCGGTCCTATATAGGCGAGGCCTGGGCCTGGGACCAGTCCGGGCCCTCACAAAAATGATGGGCCCAGAATCGGTCCCTCAAGGCCCAAACCCAAATTGGGACCAATCTTTGAGGGCCCAGCCCCACCTCTAGTAGATCGAATTAATTTCGCTCATGTTTGTTACACTATTCCAGATTATTATTTTGTTATCCTATTTAGATTAAAAAATATGATGTGTCTGTTTACCTATTGGGAACATTATTCTGAAAATTAATTTAAATCAAATAACATTTTTTGTCTAAAAATTAAAAGAGGGGGGACTTTTTTTTATATTACTCAACTCAAAACATTTTTCTATCTAACTCTATTCAACTTAAAACATTTTTTTTTTTCTTTTTCTCATTCTAATTTAAAAATTAATCTACCCAAGACTACCACCGTCTACCAACAATCATTGCCAGTGCCACCGACGACCACAGTCAGCCAACATGGTTGGAACGGCGTACAACCGATTGGATCTGATCAGTCGTGTGTCAATATATATCTAATTTATATTAATTTAATAATATTATAATACTAAAATAAATAAAAATTTTCAGGATGAAATATTCTAATTTTTTTTTTTTTAAACACACGACTCCTCTACTAAATACAAACAAATCAAATCTATGAACTGTTTACGAGCACTTATTCTATATTAGAAAAATCTCGAAAGAAGAATCAACTAATTAGAATATGTTCAACTTTTTATCCGACCCGACCCGACCCGACGCGTTAACAGTTTCATCCAGAAGAATCTCGTAGGTTTATATTTAGTAACCATCAAGGGAGAGAGACAGTAGCAGTCTTGCGAGTTTGACACACAAGCAAAGAAAACAACAGTCAAAATCAATCAAATGGCGATGAGAGCTGTAGTAAGCCGACTCAGCCTGACGCGCTCGATGGATTCAACTAGGGGAGTAACTCGCTACTTCAGCGACGACAAAGGTCGTGTCTTGAGCGAGGAGGAACGCGCTGCTGAGAACGTTTACATTCAGGTTTCTTTAATCAATTCCTCTTTTTTCTGTTTGGTTCTCGAGAAAACTTGTAGAAATATGAAGAACATAAGAAGAGAAAACCACTGTTTTTATTTATTTATGTCATTATCTATTTAATAATTTTGCAATAAATTTACGCTTGAGTTTTCTTGCTTCGTTGAAGTTAGGTTGTGAGCTTTTTGGCTGTGATATGTTCCATTTTTGTTGTTATATATTTCATATGTTCTTAAAAAATTTAATTTGTTAATTTTTTGTTGTTGTTGACTTTCTGTTTGGTTGATGAGAAACTGTTGAGGACGAAGAAGGGGATTCTTGGGTATTAGATATCAAGCTATTTGCTAGAATCTTAAAAAATATTAATTTTTTTTCTTTTAATTTTTCAAATTGGTATAACTTCTTTATATTGGTTGATTTAGGAGGTTCTACTATATTTTAAATCAAGAGGATCCACCTGTGATTAAGCATAAGACACAGCAGTGTAGTGAAATAAACGCTTCATAGATTATTTGTGCTGTGGCCTTTTTTGGGGGTTTAGCTAGCTGTTTGGTGGGATTATTCTGTAAAATATGCAATGTAAAGGAGTGTTTGTGCTTATTTGAGGTGAGATATCAGATTTCTGTTGCTGATAGCAGTCTGATATGTGATTTTTCTTTTATATTACTTGTATACTGAGGGTTATAAGCAGCCGAAGTGAGGCTAGTATTATCTCTTCTTCATTCCGTGTGTTGATATCTTACTGAATAGATTTTCTTTAACTTTCTTTTAATTTTTATTATTTAACATTTTGTTGGGTCCTGAAAAATTGTATTCGATATACTTTCCTTCTTTTTCTTTGGAAATAGGACAGTATCCTTTGAGTCGTTGCTTTCTTGTCCTCCGTCTATTTTCATGTCAAAGCAATATGTTTGATGATTAATTATGACTGCCCTTTTTTATAACCCTGTTTCTTAAATTGCTTTTTATGTATTTGTTGAGTGACTTTATTGCGGCATTTATGATTAGAGTCTAACATAGAAAATTTAAATATGGCAAAAAGATATCATCTTTTCAAGCTAATTGACATGTACAGAAGTTTGAAGAGGAATTTCCAGCAATTAAACAAAAGACTACAGCAAAAGGTGAAAAATAAGAAAGATTGAAGTTCGAACATAGAAAGTGTCTATTTGGGTTCAATTAGCTGTAAGAAGTTCATAATATGGGCTTTGAATTACACTAGCAAGAAACAAAAAGCTATAAGGATTTATAACAGGCTATTAAAAATAACCTTAGATTCTTAGCCCTTCATCACACATAAGCTAGTGAAACTTAATGATCAGAATACGTTAGGAGCCACATGATCCTTTTAAGACATCTAGGACATCCTTATATGTCAGACATAAGACTTAAATTTTAAGACTAGGTTTATGGAGGCTATCGGATTCGTTAAGTGGTCTTGTGAAACCAGTTTACTCTGAGTTCAGGTGCTTCTGCAGGAGTTTTGGTTATCTCTTTTGAGCTCAGTTTAAGGTTTTGATTTCTTTGTGTGAAGAAAATGGAGAGGGAGAGGCTGGAGAAGCTGAAGCAGAAGGCAGCGAAAGAGAAGTTGGAGAAAGATAAACAGGGTTCTGATAAGGTACATATACTAATGATTTCTATTTCAATGATGTGCATTGAGTTATTTTAGATTAAAGCTTATGCTCNACAACCAAAACCAAAACCAAATTCTAAAAAGGCCGTTATAGCTCAAAATTCATAAAATGAAATTTCAAACAGAGTTCTTATATAAAGACTCTTAAGCATTTATTTTTTATTATTTATCTACCCCACCTAATTCTCTCAAGTTGAGGTGTATAGATTAAAAATAAACCAGAGCAATATATGCAGAACATAATCACAATGCAATTACGGGAGAACAATAATCTGACAAAACTTTTATCTCAAATGAAATATTAAGCAAATCCCCACCAAATTACATTTAAACAGTGAGGTATAAACTCAAAGGCAACATCATAACTTGGAGAATATCCGGATTCAAAATTTCTATAACAAAAAACATTTTTAGGAGAAAAAGGAGAAAATAAAACTTTTCCAAGGTCAAAATCTCAAGCCAAAACTGCGAACAGCGAGTACAATTCCATGTTCCGAGCACCTCTGCTGGACATACACCATTATCGCCTGCAAGAACAAAAGCCATATCCATACCATTGCGGACAGGCTGAACAGGTTGCAAGATGTAGTCCTCCTAAAGGTAAGACAAACAATTAATTAGAAAGATTATTCCGACAGGTCTTGATATGAACTGATTGAGCCTTAAACTAATACCTGAGTATGAAGAAATTAAACAACTAGCGAAGGAGAGTCCATTGATCAATATAATATAATATGATAAACAGCTAAGCATAGAGACATTGAAGAACATTAAGATGGTACATGCCGAAAAAAATTAACTAAGAACAGTGCATGTGTTATATACCTTAAAATTTAGCGTCTTTGAGTTTTTCCAATGGAGCGTTTGCCAGAGAACAAATGCTTTGGTTTCAATGTAGGAATAACTCTATCAGCCTCTCCACGACGAGCATCCTTGTTCCTCTTCTTAACAGATTTCTTGCCAAGTTTAATTGCCTTGACCTTTTGAGCAGAGTCCTTGAAGCCCTCTCCTGGAACAACTTCACCAGGAGGTCGTGACTTCGACCTTGACCGGGATGTGGACCTCAAACGCAGCTTCTTGTTTGGTTGGTCCACATCCATATCCATAGCATCACCATTATCATATTCTCCCCTGTCAGGTGACCTCTCTCTCTTACGGCCTCTAGACTTGCTGCGAGCGCGATTCATTGCCAAAGAAGGATCCAGTCCCAAAGACGATAGCTGCCTTCCCATTCTCTGTGATGTGAACCTCCTTTCCTTGTCAAACTTTCTAGGTACAGTGGGCCTACTCTCAGCAGTGCTTTTCTTGATCCTATGTTGTTGAATAAGCAAGCTTTTCTTTTTCCTGATCTCAGCCAATGCTTCTTGCTCTTCTGGGGTCAGTTCCTTACCATCCATTTCAAAGTCATCATCTTCCTCCTCTGCCTCCTTAATACCTTCTTCCCGTTCCAACTCTTCAAGCCTTAATAAGATATCAGGGTCAACAAAGTCATAAACATTGTGGCCATCAAGAATTTCAGGCATAATATCTGCTTTCCATTCCTCATTGGATAGGATATAATTCTTTCTCAGACTAGCAGAATATACACCAGCACCACCATTCTCATTCTCCAAATCCTTCTCAGTCTTCCTCTTTTCTTGTTCAGCTGCTTGCTTGGCTTTAGCTTCCAAAACCGCCTGAGGTATACATGGTGGCCTTTCCTTCTGGTCACGTGGCTTTGGCATTGCAACATGAAATCGATTCATGCAGTCATTTATCTTTTTGGTTTTCATCTTCAATTCCACCCTTTGATTCAATAACCTCTCACAAGCTGCATTCTTAACAGCACTTATCCCATCCTCAGTCAAAGTGCTCATAGTCAATAGCACCCCTTCATCAGTTTCAGGCTCTCCTCCTGGAGCCATCACAGCTTTCAATGCTTCAGCTTTCATCTCCATGACCAATTTCATGTCTTCCTCAGATATACTTTCCAGTGGCTGCAAATCAGTCTTGTTGCAGACAATGATCAAGGGTTTGTTCATAAACAGAGACTTAATGCTGTGAAAAAGAGCTGCCTGCTGAGCAATGCTGTATCCACATGATCCCGAGATGTCCAAGAAGAACAGCACAGCAGCTCGCAGATGTGCCAGAGCTGTTATACTGCACATCTCAATAATGTTACGATCTTCAAATGGCCGGTCCAAAATCCCCGGGGTATCAATCACTTGATACCTCAGATATTTATAATCAGTATGACCTACAAAGAGTGACTTTGTGGTAAAAGCATAAGGCTGGACATCCACATCAGCCCTGGTGATCTTGTTCATAAATGAGCTCTTTCCAACATTAGGGTACCCACAAATCAAAACTGTCCTTGTATTTGGATCAATTGATGGAAGCCTTGCCATGTGTTGTCTGATCTGTTCTAAATATGCCAAACTAGGACTAATTCTCTTTATCACAGTACACATTCGGCCAAGAGCAGCGACCTTTAGAGACTTACAACGATAAAGCGAGTCACCATACTTCAACAACTTCACATAATCTTTAGAAATCTTGCTGATAAGGTTCCTAGCAGTATTTATTTGGCCAAGAGCAAGCTTGTAGTGATCTTTATTATACAGTACATGCAGAAGGTCTCCATAAAAAGGGTGGATATCATCTAGACGGGGAAACTCTTCAATAATTGTAGACAGCTTCTCATGAAAATTTTGTTGCGTATATTTTACCTTACGCATGTAAAACTGACGGAGACGAGTAATGGCATATCCCTTATGAACAACAGTCGGTGTCTGCCGCTGGGTACGGGATAATATGATGTCGATGAAATCCTTTCCATTAGGTACTACAGTAATCTTCTTGAAATTATATTGCACCATCTTTAAGCACTTGCCTGTGAAGAATTTAAAAGGCAAAAGTAAGAATTAACTATCTAGAAACAGCAGAGAAATATACATTCTAGACATTCACAGTTTGCAATCCACCATGGTATTAAAAATAAAAACGTATTCACGACAAGAGCACTCAAAACTATTCCCTACTTGAAGCATAAGGGAAACACTAAAACACTGGCTCCCTTAGCCGATGGATTTGCCGGCCGATCAAAGTCATGATGTCAATATCGATGCACTCCCCAAAATGTATTATAATTTTTTTGATAAGTATAAACTTTGCAAGCAAGATGATGAGAAAATAAAATTGTCAACGAGGCGTGCACAAAGACTGAGAAACAAAGGGGAAACAATCTATAAACACTGTCCTGATTGATCATCCCTCTACCGAACCAAGACCCAAAATTAATAAAGACTCAACCTAAAATGCACCATAACATCGAGAAACTCCAAGTAACACCAAGTACGCAAGTATTCGCAAACTATGATACACACGACCTCTACATTCTAAATTTAACCAGACAATCAAAACACCACTTTTAGCTAAAAATAAAGGAAAGATCATAACTTGGTGCTGCCAAACAGCAACACAAGCTAATGAACAAGAAACAACACCAATAAAAATTATTTTTAAGGAAATTAAAAGTTAAAATAAAAAAATCGATTAACACCCTATCATGAACTTGAAATTTACTTTTGCCATATATTTCTCAACAACAATCAAAGACGCTAAAATAAATTTCATTAAAAGTTTCAAAAATCACAGAAAATTAGAAGAAAAAAATCAATAAATTTCTTCTTTAAAATAACGCTTTGAATGTATTCTAATCATTAGATCAAAACTAAAAAAAAAAAAAAAAAAAAAAAAAGCGAAGTATTTTCCCGTATATGTTAGGAACAAAAACGAGTAACACACAAAATCACTCTCAAAATATAGTTGAAAAAGTCGAGACAAATAGGTTTGCTTACCAGCTGCTTCTGACGGTGTGTGCTAGTATCAGTGCCGCCGGTGCTGGTGGCTCTGCCGCTAGTAACGGCTTCGGATAAAAGTAACGGTGCCGCCTGTGACGGTGGCTGTGGAGAGTAGAGGTACCGCCTCAGTGTAAAATTGTAAGCGAAGCAGAACAAAATGAAGTGTGGCGGCTTGTACCCTAGGGTTGCTTTTATCTGATTTTATAATATTTTATTTAGTGAAAGGTAAATATCATCCTCATCCCCCAAGGTTTGATGACTGCCTCTAAGGACTTGTTTGATATAAAAGTTTAATAGAGTTTTGGTTTTCGAAAATAAAAAATACCAAAAATCTCGTAAAAATAATTTTAGTAGAAATGAAAATAGTTTTTAAATATAAACATAAAGTTAGAATAAAATCAGAAAATAAATTTAATAACTTTTTCTTTTTATAGTTTTTTCTCAAAATAACTTTTGAATAATATGTTAAAGTTAAACACATTTTCAAATATTTTAAATGTAATTAAAAATTTTAATGTATTTATAATTTTTTTAAATTATTTTCGGATCATAAACTAAACTAACCCTAATTAGTGATAATATTTAAAAAAAAAAATCAATATTATAAACATTGATACAACTATAGTTAACTCAATTTACTATAAGTTAATCCCTGTGATTCAATTACAGGAGGCGGCCATAACTGGGGATTGACTGTTGGTCAAAGGGGAAGCATACAATATTTTCTAAATATCTGGGTTTACATTAAATTTACCTAGCCTCAATGGCGATGGAATGTTTTTCCTTCAAAATAACATTTATTTTTATAATAGATTCAAATTTTGGGTGTACTTAATTTGCCCACCAAGTAATATTAGAAATTGTGAGATACCTTCCTATGCAAGATTTTTTTTTTTTTTTTTTTAAATATAAATATCAGGAGTCTTTAATAATTTTGAATAATCAGGAATTTTAGACCTAAGTATTATGGTTAAGGTGAATTGGAAATAATGTCGATAGATGCATGTTCGATTCATAATATGAGCATCTGTGATTTAAATGTGGGGCCGTAACAATGAGTTGCCGAGTGAATCATCTTCTACGAATTAGTCAAAATACAGGTAAACTAACTTGAACACCTTGGTTAAAATAAAAAAAAAAAAGTCAGAATTAACCTTTTTAATTTTACAAGTTTATGAGAAATCTTGAAAATGGCTGAAATCTACTGAAACTGATGCAATTTTGGATTCAAGAAGTTGCATTCTTTCATGTCTAGTGTCCTCTGAAGTGTGCTTCTGTGTTTTGGTATTTTGTTAAGCTTCTTACTCTGCATTCAATAATCTTTTTCAATCCCGGATGGCTGGCCTTTCTCGTAGTATGACTCTATTTCCTGAAGCTCACTCTCCATTTCCAGCATCGACAAAGAAAGGGTTCCTGTTCCTGATCCAGACTTTAAAACCGACAGAGCAACTTTGACACCTGAAACTTTAAAATCAATAACAGTAAAGTTGTGGTTGCATTCTTCTTGATGTTATTGTTAAAAAGAGCAATCTGTTATTTATACGAAAGCAATGAATGTGAGCAATCAAGCGGTTATACTTTTTGTACTTCTGTTCTAGCAGATGACAATGGAAGATGTATAGCTGCAAAAGTGAGCTAGACGGCCTTTTCTGGAAACAATTTGAGCTTCGGGCAATCGACAAGATATAGTTCTTCCAAGGAAGAGAAAGTTTGATCAGAAAAGGAAAGGCATTCCAGATTCGGAAAGTTCCCGATGTACAAGGCGGTTTGAGAGGTCGGAACCTGTGGCAAAGGACACCGAGTTGGAGCATCCTCCGTTGACGAAGACTCGTGTAAGAGAGGCGAGTCTGTGCAAATCCCCACGCGAACATTGGCTTCAGGATCCTGAGATCTTCAATTTCAAGAAATGTAAGGTTGGTGGGAAAGCCATTTTTAGGGAAGGATTCAATGCCTGGATATCTTTCATCTTCAAAAGTTGAAGGGAGGTCAGATTGTGGATGAAATTGGGCAGGGCCTCCAGTTTCTCATACCCAATTATGCATATCTCCGTCAGGTTTTTGGAATGCAACCCTCCTCCCGGAAAGGAAAAAAAATTCTAACCTGGGGGGTACGCAGTTATTAGAATTTGCATTTGTCCCATATCATTGGGTTGGCGGAGTGCTATTATGTTTACACGTAGATTGACACCCTCCTTCTTTGGACTAACTTTTCGAAAAGAGTTCTATGCAGGTTTACGTTAATTAATACATGTACAAATATATGTACGAATGTATTAGCATCAAGGTGTCATAGCATGACATATTTTTGCCCTTTAAAACAAAACTCTTTTTTGCATGTACAAATATATTAGTTAACATCAAGGTGTACAAAAATATTAGCTATGGAGTATATGACACATTTTGTCCTTTAAAAAAGCTCAAGAGAGGAAAGAGCCCAACCACTTATAAATATCATAACAATCCATTCTTATACCTCAATGAAAAGGGGAGAGAAACAAACATGATTTTGATACTATGATAAAGTGAACTTAGGCAGAACTTACTCCCAAAAGCTAACTCAAGAGAGGGGGGGGGGGGGGGGCATCCAACCACTTATATGCATCATAACAACCACTATTAGGGCGATGTGGGACAAATTCAACTTCGATGTGGGACAAATTCAACTTCTAACACTCCACTTCCTTAATTGCTAGCTTTTCTTCGATATAGAGGAAAAAAAAGAAATAGATGTCAAAGAAACTCAAGCATTACTGAGTTGTTCAAGCCATAACAAGAACAAAAAATTAATGAATGAACACAGATCTACAGCATAAAGGTCACATACAAACTACTACATCACTTTGAAAATCCTCTGCAATTCTGTTAACTTGTATTGAAGTTCATTCTTCAAAGTTAAAAATAATCAAATTTGTTATATATTGTTCAACGTTTGCTCCTAAATTCAAAGAACTTCTACCTTTATGAACAAATTTGAAAGGGCCTCGTTGCTGTCTTCTTGGTGTGGAGAAGAATCGGAAACTGATGGTGAGGGTCAATATATGAAGACGTAAGGAATGGGGGCAATCATACGGCGATATTGTCCTCTATGCTTTTTGCATTTCTGGTTTAGCAGAGGACAATTGATGATACGGAGCTGCAAAAGTGAGCGAGGCAGGCCCTTCTCTGGAAAGGATTTGAGCTTAGGACAATCCAAGAGATATAGCTCTTCCAAGGAAGTGAATCTTTAATCAATGGAGGATCGGCTTTCCAAATTCGGAAAATTTAGAGAGGTGGGAACCTTAGACACAATTGCCTATGTAATCGCAAATTGTAAATTGTACACACAATATATAAAAAGACGAATTGCAAATTGAAAAGATGATTTCATTCATTACAACAACAAAAGAGTCCAAAAACCCGATTACACAAGGACAACTCTTACGCCTAAGGCTGGTCGGGAAGATCCTTCGAGCCAGAGCCACCTGCCTGGTCGGGTCCCTGGGCGGCCGCGCGCCTGGTCGTCCTCCTCGCCATGATCCGTAAGGTCGCCTGCCAACCCTCCGAGGTCGGATGTGTCCAAATCCGGTGTTCCTCGCTCGCAGGTTTAGATGACCCGATTGCCAGTCTGCAGCCTTCTCCTCCTTCTCCTCCATCTCCTCGACTGATTCTGTATTTCATCGGTCAGAGAAGCGACTCTCGCCCGACTCTCCTGGAGCTCGCCTCAAGAGCTAGCCTTTCCTCTCGGAGGCCTGCCTATCTTCTTCAGCTCGCTGAGCCCGCGCGAAGGTCGCCTGAAGCTCCTGGTCCTTTTCTCCGACCTCCCTAGAGAGCCTGGCGGTTGTCCTTTGAAGTTCTCTAACTTCCTCTGCACGTCGATCGAGCTCCGCCTCTGGAAGTCCACTGTTCGCTGAGCAGCATCCTTTTGTGTTCAGATACCTATTCGCTGCATCGACCGCTTGGGTTCTCTCCGCCTCAACGACTCCAAACTTTGCTTCAGCTTCGCGCCCTCCTCCTGCAGGTCGCTTGTCCCCTTTGCGGCCCCCAGCCGCGTCTTCTCCATGGACATCCTCATCGCAAGCAACCCCTGGCGAGCAGGATCTGAGTTAGAAATAACCAAATGAAATTTCAAGTACAGCGGTTTACCTGCTCATAGATGCTGGAATGACGTGGCCATCAGGTCGTGCCTGTGTCTGCAAATTCCCGTACGACTTCGATAGCTCGCACTCGAGCGGCCATAGACAATTGGCTGCAGGTACTCGGCAGACTCCCCCAACGAGTCCAGAACGCGCGTCCTTTGCCTTGTCGCCAGTTCACCCGCCTCGCTGCGGGCTCTTTTGCCCGACTCCCTCGATTCTTTGCGCGTCCTTGAGGCTCCTCCTCGGATTCGGTCTCAGACTCTTCGACCTGGACCTGTTTCTCTTCTTGGACCTTTGGGCCGGAGCCTTCCGTCTGGGCGAGCAGAAGGTGCCCGAGCGACCTGTTCTATCCTGGTCGCCTCTTATGCAGGGCGGGGCTGCGAAGGCGCAGAAGCTCGCCAGCGGTTGTGCCGGAATAGCACGGGCCGCTTCGGCCGCCTCTCACTCCTCAATCGAGGGAAACAATGGTGCTCGGCGGGACTGCCCGGACTCCTTTGGGGGCATGGTCTCTGTATTTAAGCTCGTCGGTAAGGGAATTTATTCTACACCAGAATGGGTCAGCATAACTTACCTTCTAGGGTTCTAACGACGCCTTGTCGTGAAAAATCGTACTTCCGCAGGTTCGCGGTTGTCACAAGCTCCTCCTCGCGTCCCGTTGTTCCTCGTCCAATACCCCGAAAGATACGAGCCTGTTTGGGTCGGCAAGTAAGTCTTGGCTGGTCGTTCTATTAACTGCAAAAGAAACAGGTCGTTACTAATGATCGTGCGAGCAGATAACGAACCCAGCGAAAGGAAACCTACTTGATCCTGAAAATGGCAGTGACCGTTATAAAAAAAAAAGAAAAACTTTGTCTCGTAGGCCCCCGCATTGCTGGGATACTGTGTATCCCCGGTACTGGTAGGTCGCTCGCCGAGACAAATAGTACAAATCATTGTCCCTACTCTTCTTCAGGTAGTAGGCGACGCCGAGCTCCACTGCTGATGGCTCTCCCAGCCGTTTTCGCCACAGCACGCGATGTACCGCGCGACAGCGATGACATACGCGTTTGG